AGTGAAATTTGCCGCACGCTAATCTGCCTTAACTGATATCCTTGCTTGAATGGCGCAAAAAGATGGTCCTAAGAATTAGTTTTGATGGTTTTTACTGCAATCCCAGATGAAGGATTCCCACTGCAAGTCACAATTTCGGCGCGACTAATTTGACACACTTGATGTGGGTAATACGAGAGAAGGTGATGGGTCTACGTTTGGTTTGCACATGCAATTGTGTACATTCCCTATTCAGATTGAAGGCCATACATCCGCTACAAAGTCCTGGACTATCTAGCCGGTGGTATGCAGTGTTTGTTTAGTTGGGGGAGAAGATAACGAGTGACGTAGCGGAGCTACACAGCTCCTTAAGTCAGAGGGAGACTTAACGTTCAGAGAGCAACTTAGCTCTAAAGAATTAGATTCAATGAGTCAACAAGCGTAAAGCTTATGGTCCTTGTTCCAGGGGACCAAACGATTCAATGAATCGACAGCACGTAGTGCTCAAGAGTAACTAGCTACCTCAGGAAGGTGTTGCTAACTCTTAGTGATCAGCGATCAACGACCAAAGACACCTCGCAAGGCACGTGTCTTTAAGACCAAAAGGGGAACTGAATTTTATCTACGTTTACACCTATAGAATATCTTAACCTAAGTAAGTACAACTAAGATCTCTCCTATCTCGTGGCTGAGATCAGTCAGCCTCTATAAACCGATAAGATACTCCATATCTTGTTCAGTGGGATATCATCCGTGTGATTTAAAAATAGAGTACCAGGTACTCAACTACGTGTGACTCCGTTACACCCTCCCCCACCAGACTGACGTTTCCCTAAACGTCAATCGAACCTCGTCCTAATCGAACGTTCTCATCGAACTCGACGACTCTCAGTGATTACCTCGAAATGGGGGTGGTATTGGACTATGGTAGAAATACCAGTGTCCCGGGTGATGCAGGAACAATGTCCGATACACAAATGTCTGAAGTACAACTTCTTACTGGCCCCTGTTCATCCCCTGAACGTGAAAATGACAATTCGCCAATGGCGCCGTGCTCAACCCCCCGGTTCGGATGATACTATCATCAAGAACCCGTTCGATGAGCAACAACAGCTAATCCTTTAACAAGGAGAAAGCACTCGGCGCCATGCACAAATGGTCGCAGCCCCTGAGCACCAACGTAACTATGTGTTCATTCCACCCAGTGTGGAGGAACGTCAACGTCAAGCGGCCGGCCAATCGTTGGCAACGTGGGTCATTGGCCATGAGCCTAAGTCTCCTGAGGAGGTGGCGAGCGGACAGGCACCTCGCTAGAGGTGCCTGGAGCCTTACTTAACGACCCAAGGTCAATACAAGGCACGCCTTAAAATGCAAGCACGAAGTGCACCTTCTCACCGATAGAGGGTATACCCATTCTCTTGTCTGCAGGAGAAACAGAGAGCGAAGAAGACAATGCTTTCGTCCGCTGGGTGCACCGCATACGTCGCCCCAGCAGTATATCTGCTCTGAAAGCTAGTGCCAATGCGGCTGATGAACGTATAGAGCGCAAGCTTCGGTATGACTACGCCAAGCGTAAGGCCAGAGGCCGTTTGCTTAATTCCACGCGATATGCTTCGGCTACTACGGTAGCCGCGGTTGGTCAAAAAAGGACCACCAACCCTCCAACCCACACCACTAGTGGTGGGGAACGGCCTCGGTCTCAAGATGATCTTGGCCACGATGTTCAAAGACATCCAAAGCATGAGGGCAATCTTGCCGTAGGGGTACCTCGTATTCCCTTAATTTCTCAGACTCATGGTACCCACGCCACTTTGCCAGATACTGGTAGTAGACATGACGACGTCGTCGTTTCAGTAGTCTCTCGACATAAAACTGACGACACCGTGCTCATCTAGCAGTGTCGGTGGCGGCCGGTGTACTGGCGGTAGCCACGGGAAATTGGCTCTCGAAGTGAAGGGCATTCAAAAGACCCTGAGGAAGACCCAATGCATGCTAGATGCGATGCAGAGCATCCTTCAGGCGATGAAGCATGCTCAAACTCGGAGCGAGGCTCAGTTGGACTTGCTGATTTGATTTCAGCAATCCGGGGCACCGCCCTCGTCTTCGGCGCCATCGCCTCAAAGTTCACATGGGAAGGATCCCGGTGCGGCTTAAGTAAGCATACGTAGAACACTAGGTGTGTATAGTGGCTAGCACCAGTTAGCCCCCACAAATCTATAAGATATTCTGTATCTCTTTCAGTGGGATATCATCCGTGTGTCTAAGACACAGGGTACTAGGTACCCAACTACGTGTGACTCCGTTACAAGTGATGTCATTGCACTGGATCGTAAACAAAAAACTTCCGATGATTCGAGCATCTTCATCACGCATTATCGGCTAAGTGTAAGTGACAAAGCACTCTTGCGATCAGGAATCCTCGCAAGAAAAGATGACAAAGTCACTAATTGTGAAGACTGTGACGCAATTCTTCGCTTTACATCGACGAGACGCCAACTACATGTGACCTCCTCACTTGGTGTCACTCTCAATCTCTTCGCTTAGTTAAATGTGACAGAGTGTTCATTTTTTAGAACGGCAATCTACCAGAGTAGCAGCAGCATCGTGCTGACGCTGACTGTGACAACGTTTTTCAATATTTTTACATTGCTCAATAAACCAGCTAGCGATTTTATTGCATCGACATGATCAAAACGGACTTCGATAAACTGTTGTGCATGACAAAATAGCAAGGGGAAACTGGCCGAGATGGTACATCATGCCATCGACACGCAGTAATATCAGCAACATCAGTGAGTTGGATATCCCGAGCAAGACACGATTTGTGAGTCTTTCTGAATGCGTTATCCGAAACCACCACTGATCCGTCGTTTGGATAGATCTAGTTATGGTAAACTTTATGTTGATGCTAAGATCGCTGATATTTTAGTGTAAGGGTGTCCTGTGCACAGATCATTCTGGTATTATTGTGTTTTTGAAAACACGCATTGATCGGTAGCGTCCTACATGAAAACGCAATTTTTTCGTTTACATGTAGGGGGGTGCTACAGTTTGCTCCTATTTTAAAAGCACAAGTCCCTAAACAATCGATGCCTAGCTATCGCAATTGGCTGCGTGATCTGCTGCCTACGTATCACAAGTGGACAGAAGAGTTATCAACTGATTATATAGTTGCGAAACAGTTGCTTCAGCAAAATGTGCCTCCTTCTCACAATTGGATGAGCTATCGATAGGAGAGCCACCTATCGTATATACAATCTTCAGTATCACTCGATGAAGATGCTGCCGCTTCCAGCGTCAATGAAAAAATTGGGTAGAAGACAGAGTCATAAATACCTGCTTAGGAAGTACTGGCAGTCCCATCACCGCTTCAAACCCGATTTGGTATGTGCAGTCCTTGGCGCATATACATTCGGTCAGCATCTCCCAGACACCTTGTAATGGACTTCTGTCGCGGAATTGCTGCCACGTCTCATCGAGTGTGCATCGACACACAGCCAAGCAGCAAATCCTACATGGCATGCTCACAGGTTGAAGTCGCGTCATGTATTCCTTATAAAGATGACCAACAGTTCTCACGCATTGATATCAACAGTTCTGTTTACCGGTTCAGACATTTGCGATAGCAATAATGAGCGATAAGAACAGTCGTTTAGCCCCCTGCTAATGTACCGCTCGCGGACACTCGCTCACGCATGGACCACCGTACGTCGTGCTGTGTCGAAAAGATAGGCACTAAAGGCTGCTGTTGCGACGTAGAGACTGTCGACTCTGAGCAACGCTCTAGGTGGTCACTACGTGTGGTACGTTGTGGAGCATCATGAAAAATATCGATTACCGATTATTGCGTGTTCTTGTCGCAGGATCCATCACGTTGCACAACTTCCGTTCCAGGTGATACAGCACTACATTGTGCTTGCAATCATTACAGGAAGAGTCGATGACAATGGTAAAAATGGAGAGCTTTTTACTTTGAGACGAGTGAATAAGCACTGATCATTGTAATTCGTGAAGCGGCACGGATGTCTTCTAGCAGACGGTAGCTTCGATCGGCCATTCTGCCTTATTCATGATATAAAATATGATTTACACACGAACAGAAAGGAAATGAGCTACCGAATCGATGTCATATCTGCACGACAAAATCACAAAGTCGGTTGCTGCGTACACGGGTCCTTTCATTATTGGACTATGTAGCTGAGAGAAACCCTCATCCATTTGTACAATAGTGGGGATCAATTAGCTAGGTGTACCGAAGTTAAGTTTCGCACTACATGTACCTCAGGTACTTGGCTTCTGTGCAATTTGCCTCAAGTATAGTCACCTGACAACTCCAAAGCCCTCTACAGTTTCGCAAGTGCCGTCGATGGAAGGGATACACTCCTACGTAAGGTAAATCTTGCACGTCCTGACGTACAGTCGGATGGTGATTGACAGCGACTATAAAAGAGTCCTTGAGAGCTCTCACCACTTCTGCTGAAATTATCCGTACGGTACCATTTCAACACAACCTATAGCATCTCAGCTGAGCCAGTTCTTCGTTTCTTAGCCCCTATTATGAGAACTGACTATGGCTGAGGTACGTTTCCCAGCAAAATGGAGGTTGTGAATGGATGGCTCATCAGCTATGCAAGCGCTCACCATTCTTGAGAAGGTTAGAACGCACGAGCTCTTCACGTTGTTAGCTGCAAAATATGTCATCGGCTCGTGGAAGATGCCCGACCATTATTGGTAAACTAGCAAAGATGGCAGCGCCATCTTTCATCATTGAACGCAACCACGACGTTGGTTTAAATCACCATATATCTGATGCTCAGACTGACTATGCGAGTCGCGCATTGAGAGCATTTTCGAGTTGAAGTCACCTACAAAGACGTGCAAACTGCGTCGCTTTAACGGGCACGGCACGGTGTATTGAAAAAGAATCAGTATCCGCAAAACAGCACTCGCTCTTGTCCCGACCTTCTCACTCAACTGCACCGGACGACTCCTTCATACTCGTGCTGCTTTAGATGTATGGCTTAGCTGTAAAGATCCTCCTCATCTTCTTCGTCAGCCGCCACAGCAGCACCACTGCCAGTGTTAGCACTGACGTTGCGACCAGGAAACGAAAAGTTGGCCAGTGAAGTTCCGCCCGCAGTCACATGCGAACGCGCCTGTTGGAGCGTCTGCGCAAAGGTCGAGTACTGCGCCAAGTCGCGGTCGCTGACCGAGCGGCGGGCGTTGCGCACGGCCTCCTCAAAGTGGCGCGGCGTAATTTCAGGTACCGGGTCGTCCTCTTCAATATCCTCCATTTCGTCCCCAGCTTCCGCACGGAGACGGTCGCGTTCCATGTCACGGGCAATGCTCTCACGGATTGCCAACTTGGCAGCTCGCTGGCAGATCTCAGTAAGATCAGCACCCGAGAACTTGTCAGTTTGCTGAGCAAGGAAGTTCAGGTCCACATCCTTGGACACAGGGCTCTTGCGCAGCACAGAGCGAAGAATACTCAGACGCGAATCAAAGTCAGGCATGGGAATGAAAATCAGCTGATCCAGACGGCCCGGACGCATCAAAGCCGGATCAATAATATCAGGACGATTCGTGGCACCAATAATAAAGACGTTCTTCTTCGCACCCATTCCATCCATTTCCGTCAATAGTTGGTTCATAACGCGATCACCAGCACCGCCAGCATCGCCAGAACTGCTGCCCCGCTGTTGAGCGATCGAGTCCAGCTCGTCGAAAAATAACACGCACGGAGCGGCACCGCGCGCCTTGTCAAACACCTCACGAACATTGGCTTCGGATTCACCAAACCACATGGTCAACAGCTCGGGACCCTTGATTGAAATAAAGTTCGCCTGGCATTCGTTAGCAACAGCCTTGGCCAGAAGCGTTTTGCCGCATCCGGGTGGACCGTAGAACAGCACACCCTTTGACGGACTCAGACCGTACTTTTCAAACTTCTCCGGGTGCTCGACAGGGTACTGTACCAGCTCGAGAAGCTCGCGCTTGACGCCTTCAAGCCCACCAATATCCTTCCACGTAACCGTTGGTACTTCCACCGTCGTCTCACGCAGCGAGGACGGATTCGATACGCCCAGCGCGTATTTAAAGTGAGCCTGCGTCACTGACATGGCATCAAGAATCTCGGCGTCAATCGTCTCATCCTCGATGTCAATCACATCCATCTTTTCACGGATGCACTGGAGCGCAGCTTCTGTACACAATGCAGCCATATCCGCCCCAACGAACCCCTGCGTGTCCCGCGCAATAAGCTCCGGGTCCACATCATCGTCCAGCTTCATGTTCCGCGTGTGAATCCGGAAAATCTCGAGCCGACCGTTCTCGTCTGGCACGCCGATGTCAATCTCGCGGTCAAACCGACCAAACCGACGGAGAGCAGGGTCCATACTGTTCGGTCGATTAGTCGCGCCAATCACCACAACGCTCGCCCGCTGCTTCAGGCCGTCCATCAGCGTCAGCAGCTGCGACACAATGCGACGTTCAACCTCGCCATTGGTCTTTTCACGCTTGGGTGCAATCGAGTCAATCTCGTCAATAAAAATGATTGCAGGCGCATTCTTTTCTGCCTCTTCAAACGCTTTGCGCAAGTTACTTTCCGACTCGCCGGCCATCTTCGACATGATCTCGGGGCCATTAATCAAGAAGAAAAACGCGCCCGTTTCGTTCGCGACAGCCCGCGCAATCAGCGTCTTGCCCGATCCCGGGGGACCATACAACAAAACCCCTCGAGGAGGTTTCACCCCCAGTGTCTTAAACAGCTGCGGATGACGCAATGGCAGCTCAATCATCTCGCGGATCTGCGCCATCTGACGCCGACAGCCGCCAATATCGTCGTACCCGACTTCGTCCATCTTCTCCTCGTCTTCCCGACGGACGGGTTCGCCTTCACAGTGGATGATCGTATCCGGAGCGACGATACAGTAAGGACCTGGTTCCGTCTCCACCACCTTAAATTCCACCGGATGCATGGCCTGCCGGACGAGGAACAGATCGCCCTTTTTCACCGGACGATAGGCTTCCACAAAGTAGGGCTTGAGGTACACGTCGAAGAGGTTGCCAGTCACGCCTTCGATTGTATCGTCGATGGGCAGCACGTGGATGCGTTTGCCGTAGGGCACGTCTCCACACGTGTGGAGGCCCACGACGTCGCCCAGCCGCACGCGCAGATTCTTGCGCACGACTTTGTTCATGCGGACATTGTGGTCGTCCACGGTCTCGTCCTGGAGCACGACACAGACGGTCTCGTGACCCTTCTTGCCCTTGAGCAGCACCGTGTCCCCTCGGAAGAGCTGCAGCTCCTCCATCTTGGCCATGCTGAGGGCCACGACCGAGTTGTCGTCGTTCAGGGCTTCGTCCACGACGAGGCGATTGGGCGACCGTTTCCGGTCCATGATCCCGGCTTTGAACTCCTCTTTCTTGTCACTCATGACGTTGTTAAAGAGGTTCGAACGTCGTACGTGGCACTTTGTTGCTGCTGCTGCTGCTGCTGTTCTCGAGTAAGTATCCTTCAGGACACACACACGCGTGTGGCTACATAAACGATAGAGAAAGGTGCATGTCAGTGTGAAGTGGACGTGGGTCTATCGACGGGTTTAGAGAAAATGGGCAGTGTACAAGTGCTCGTGCAGTTGACCATCTCTCTCGTGTAGCTACTACGATAGTGCGATGGCTACAAATAAAGTGGTTCTTATGCTATGAGCGTTGCGGGGCAGAGATGTGTCGTTGGCACAGGATGGACGGACGTACATTTGGACGTGTGCTTCGTACGGGGCTTTCGCGGAAGTGAGCGTTTTCTCTATCTTTCTCTATCGTTTGATACCCCCCCCTCCGCCACGTCGCGAAGATATCGTGTTTAGAGAATGCGATTTCGACCAATCAGGAGGTAAGGTAAGCAGCCCTCGCAGCGATCGCACAAGGAGTGGTCAAAAGTCGAGAGAATCTTCGAACGATGTGAGGGGCGATGACGTGGCGCTGATCATCATAACGGGTTAGAAATGACGCGCTCGAACCGGGCATAAATGCAAAAAGGGATAGCGTGCATTTTTACGTTACGGAACCGAAATGTCGAACTCGCTAGTTACGACGGCCGTGGTGCGGCGGCTTCTCGCCCTTTTTATTGTTCAAGAGCGCAATGAGAATACGCACAAAAATGGACATCAAATCTGCGAGCAGCACACATCACGTCAGCTCCTTCTCAGAAACCGGTACATTTGCAAAGAACCAAATAACCGCAGCGAAAGGAACTGTACCCATAAAGAGGTCGAGCGTGTGCTTGAGCACATCCTTGTCACCCATGCTGGCCTTCTCAATGATCATCTGCGTGTCAAAGACCACGTAGCCGCAAAACAAGAAGAGTCCGCCATACTGCAGCAATCAAACACAGTCAATTATGAGCACAACCACATAAACTTAGCCTGCCTTGTCGATCTCCCCCTCTCTCCAAACACCACAACTGCCAGCCGTACCAAGTTCATGTTAACCAGATACGACGAGTGCGACACGAGATTCAGCACGCTCGTTAGAAACATCAGCGACAGCGCCGAGCTCAGGATCCCACCCAGGTACAAGTACGAGCAGCGCGTGGCTACAAAAAGGACAAAAATAACACACACACACACACATCAGTCCACAATAGCTTCGTCCACAACATCTCTAAAAGAACAGCAAACACTGCAACAAACCCCACCAAGCAGGGCACTTGCAGTAAAGCACGTGAACACCAGCGTCGTCACCAGCCTAACACACACACACACACCGAACAAAGTCTACATCACTACTTCTCTCCCACTCCCCCACATGACTGACCTAAAATCACACTCACATGGCCAAGACGAGGAGTCCAGCATCAACTTGGATCGCGACCGCGATGAGCGTGGACACCGTGAGGCCCATTGCAGCAGAGATGGCCATGAGGAGTCCGAACCGACGCTTGTAGTTCTGCTCCGGCTCCAGGCAGAGCCAAATTGAGCCCACTGTGGACACGAGGGCCGAGCTCAAGAGCGACCAGCGCTCGGGACCAAAGGCCACCATACAAGCGGCACTGAGCATGGCCGAGAACACGCAGGCAGCCAAGGTCGCGTACACGCGGATGAGATGCTGCTGCACGTCGCGGGAGATCCCGCTGGTCTTCAGCATCGTCGCCATGTTCCAGGGCGACGTCGACACGGGAGCGACGGCCATGTTTGCGATATGCTCTTCGTCTTCTTCTTTCGTTTCTATGCGGTCGCTGACTCGTTTCTATCGAGTAAAGCTGATTGAAAGGCGTGCGTGGAGAGCGATGAGATTTTCATAATCTGCTTTGGCTTTTCAATCGGATGATTCGATGAGCCGACGCACCCTTAATTGAGACCGTCTGTCCGAGGAACGAACTTTAGCACGAGCTACTTTTGAGCATTCCTAAATGAATTATCAAACACTGACCACCCGAACGTCTCGATTGAGATAGCGTAAACCTGTCCGAGAGCTCCTGAATCCGTCCAAACCATAAAAAAAGAGTAAACCCGCGAGATATCTCATCCCATTCTCGTGGCTACATCCACTCGCACGGTTTCCCATGTCGGAGCTCTACACGAACAAAGTGTGTCTATCGCCCATGGTCCGTTGTGTACGTCTCTCTCTCTCTCTGTGGTCATTTAGGCGCTTTTGCTAGGCCAATACAACAACAACAACGGTTCTACGGGTGTAGCTTAGTTGCCTCGTGTTTTTCTTATACAGGGAACTCTACCGCTGCGTCTCTTGTCGTTGCGGTACGGCGCCGACCTCGTCTACGGCGAAGAGATCATTGACAAGCGCATTATTTCTTCGGTCCGTGTACCTAATGGTGCGACTAACTGCTGTTGCTATCGCCTTGCAAAGACCTCTTATATTGGTGTCTGTGCTGCGGTTTTCTAACCATTTTTGCTATTTTTTCTTCTCTTGTAGCGGTGGTTAATTCCGTCGACTTTGTCAGCCGCAACGGCGACTCGGTCGTCTTTCGCACGTGCTCCGAGGAGGCTGAAAAGGTGGTTTTTCAGATCGGAACAGCGGATGCCGTGCTGGCGCTCAAGGCAGCGGAAACAGTGTGCGTTGCGCAACTGCAACTGTCTTTGTTCTTGTGAGAGAACTCGTGGTTGCTGGACTGCTGTCTCTTGTTTACTGTTTGGCAGAGTGTTTTTCTTCTTCTTGTCCCTGTTCTTTTGTTCTTTTCCTGTAGCGCACGGGACGTAGTAGCTGTGGATATTAATATGGGCTGCCCTAAACACTTCTCCATCCAAGGTGGCATGGGCGCAGCGTTATTGCAGAAACCAGAAGTGGCATGCGATGTACGAGTTGTGTTTATTTTGCGGCGCTGCGTCGTTGCGTGAAGTTGTTCTGGGTTCTAACTTGGTAAGCTTACGTCAACAGATTATGAAAACTCTCCGTCGAAACCTGAACATTCCAGTCTCTTGCAAAATCCGGCTACTGCCAGACTCGCGCGACACAGTACGCCTGTCGCTTCTTTCTGTTCATTTTTTCTTGCAGAGGGATTTCCTCATATAACTTTTTTTTCTCGATAGATCGATACTGCGAAACGACTGGAAGATGCTGGAGCATGTGCAGTTGGTGTGCACATGCGGCAAATTCATGAACGTCCTCGCGACAAGGCGAGTTGGGAAAAGCTAGCACCTGTTGTGTCGGCATTGTCAGTTCCTGTACTTGCGAACGGCGATGTATTCAGGTATGAAGATATTGACAATCTCTGCAAGATATCCGGGGCATCTTCCTTCCTCATTGCTCGCGGCGCCCTCGCTAATCCATCCATCTTTCGAAAAGAAGGTCTCTTGCCTATGGACCAAGTAGTACGTGACTATCTTGGAGTTGCGGCGGAGGTCGACAATGTGTTCCAGAACACTAAGTACAACGTCATGCGCATGATTCCGAGTTTCTCCGAGGATTCGTTGGCAAGTGGCAATCAGTACGGACGGTCGACAGGAGCTCGTGTCGTTACTGTTCCTGAGCTAGCTGCAACGAAGAACGGTATGCAGATGTATTCGCTGTGGAACTTGCAAAACACCTACAAAGAGCATCAGGACCGATTTCAGGCCATGGCTGCAACGCTTGATAGGAACGCAATACATGAGGGGCAAGTATCTGAGATGTCCAGAAGTCTGCCTGGTGCACCTGAGCGGTACGCAAAGGCACTTGTGCAGGACGGCGAGTTACCAAGTAGTTACGAAAGTTGTTCTGGAAAACTGGGGCTTTTCTGCAAAACATGCAAGATCCAGTTGCTGAGCGCACAGGATTTCAAGCTGCACTGCAAGGGTCGAAGGCACAAGAGTGTGTTGCGAAGACAGACTGCTACTACCATCTCCAAGCTCGTAGCAAAAGCTCATCTGGAGCAGCAGGATGTAGCAGAAGATACTTCTGACTTTGACTGCCTACATGGCGAAAGTGTTGAGAGTGGGGATACGGCACTAGAGCCCGAGGCACAGGAAAACCGGAGTGTCAAACGCGTGAAGCATTAGTATGTGGACGAGGTGGCGACAATGTGGCCAAGCAGAACGAGAGAACTGACTTTGGATCGCGAACAAAGGCATAAATCTTTTCTCCATGGTTTGCTGCAATCGAAGGAGAGCTTCATCTGGAGTAGAATTGTTCTATGTGGGCAACAAGAAAGCTCATGCTTTTGTGTGCACATGTACGATCTTGTTCAGCTTCACCTTACCTACACATGATACGAACTCATCGGTCTGCATCGGCTTGAATGAAGATGTGTCAACCCTTGAATTCAGGTGTCTCAGTGGAAAATGTCACGCAATATCTTGACATCTCGTGCATCGTGTCGATCGAGTTCAAGCTTGCACCCGAATTTTCTTCGTTGTGACAGGCGGCGTGTGCATTAACGTGCTAGTTCACTAGCAGCAGCAATGTACGGAGACAGAGTCAGCTAAAAGTGACACGGAAATGCATTGCTTCATTCCTGACTTCAACTACCTCTGCATCGACTCGGTACTACGCTCCATGGCAAATCCTCACTATTGATGTCTAGAATTCGATCACACGCACACACAGCTAGCAATTTGCTGACATTCACCTTCTTTTGTCTTGCCGAAAACGGGGAGCATTTGGCGCTACACCACAAGGTTCTCGCACCACTATCCCCCTCATGTTTTCACGGTACAGAACCTTGAAAAAGATAGTCCGGACAGCAGGCGTTCGCGACGCAATGGCATGGAATGCGCAAAGACTAGAACACTATTCGGTAGCATGCGACACGGTTCGGGGATGGTCCAGGCGATAAGCAAGCCGATCCCGACGATTCAGAGTGAGGCAGATATTCTTTACCCGTAGCGGTCACGACGGCTAAACCTGCATCACGATTATCGACTGCTAGAGCTACAAGGATTACCGTTATCGGTGGCAGGTGGCAGGCAGCAACATACAGAGATGTGCTAGTGTTAGAAATGATAGAGCCAGTGAGAGCCGGCGTCAACACGGCCAGCACATGTTTTTTGATGGCATAGAGAGTCGATTAGCGCAGTGTCGAAGTTGGAGAGAAGCATACAGCATGCAAGTAGTTTGAAGTAACGGTTGAAGTAGCGGCTGAAGTAGCGGCTGAAGAAACGGCTGATGACTTAGAGAGATGTAGGAAGATTAGTGATTGAGTGGACAGCATAGTGGATGATTGATTGAGTGGATAGGAGTGATGGAGAAAAGAACAACTAGTCAATCACGGTAGCAAGAAACGAATAAACTAAGACAATGATAGAATCCATTCATCCGTCTCCTCGACAAGTGTATCCTAGAACAGCTAGCACATTCCTCGTTGAGGCAATTGTCAAACGTGTGGTCTGCTGCCGAGATTTCTTTGATCTTTTGCTCCACATCGCGCAAGCTGTGCATCCATGCTCGAATCCGAACTAGATCATCGTGGCGTTTTTATATCCATATATGGACGGCATACTCGTCTACGCGCACAAGTGCACAAATGTCCGGAGGACTTTCTTCGGGAGTGCCACCCTTCGGTATGTTAAACAACATGAAAACGCGGACCAGGTTGAAACGACGCCCAGCCAGTCAATGATGCCTGACAGTTTACGAAGAGACGTGGCGCCACTGTAACGGGTCGGTTAGTCAGTGTGTTATCAGTAAATGGCCTCAACGAATGGACGCATTCGTTCGTGTAGATCGAGTCTGACAGATCACGCAGTAGCTTTCTGAATGCCACTTTCGGTGTGAAGGCGAGCGGGTGTAGCATGCACAGAAAGTCACCTGAGTAATCATATCCACTGGCTTGCCTGATTAGTTGGATAACCTGCACTGCACCGAAGTCGCCTTTATGCTACAAGAGTAAGCCTAGAACGTTCAGCTCAGAGGCGCCAGCTGCCAAAGTGGTGGTGCAGAGCTCATTCTGCACTTTGCTCTCGACAGCTCACTCTTGCAGCACTTGCATCTTCACCTTCACACTTTCTCTCTCTTCAACGCGGTCCTGCTGCTCATCATGCATCTGAGCTACATCATCTCTGTCATGGCCTCCGTCAGCACTACAGTCCAAGCGACCTCCGAGTCACAGCAACTTGAGCTATCAATTGTCGCCATCCCGAACGCTGCGCAATCAGTCGAGACGACCGAGTCAGAACCTTGCTTGAGCGAAAGATCGTTGCGCGAGCAGAAGCTAGAAGAAGACGGAAACGCCATCGTCACTAGTGGTGACTTTGCGTCAACGGAGGAGGAGAGAATGTTTGGTATCTCAAACGTGTTTGCAAATGTAAAGGAACAGGCCAAGAAGGTTGGCCCAGGTATCAGCTCAGTTCTGTCGGCAGGGGCTGAGCATGTTGCACAAGTTTGGAAGGTTGTGCCGGCCGTCAGCTCAGCTGTTAGGGCACAGGCCGAGAGGGTTGTGGTGGCGCTCGACTCGGCAAAGACTTCGGTTGTGAAACAGTTGCATGTCCCATTTGGTGTGCATGCACTGAAGAAAGCAGACTCAGAAGACGCTAATAAAGCTGTTGAACGACTGGAAAAGTTGGTTTGGGGACCAAGTGTCGTGAAGGAGCTGGATGGGGATTTCGCACTCGTGAAGGAGCTCGATGATGTACCGGAGAACACCATGGTGAGGCTGGATACGATAGAGGAATCGCTGAAAAAGTACCGCTCGCTTCGTGAGTCATTTCCAAAGCACTTGGATGACTCGCTGACGGCGAAGAAAGTTCGTGGTTTTATCTTTGCAGCAGATGCCACGGACGCTAACAGCGGTGCTGATCCAGACGTCTTCTACTCGATGGTGTATCGGGATTGGTTGCTCAAGGACCTTGGCCTTGTTGATGCCTCCCGAAAAGAAATGACTGATAAGGGCCATGAACTACTGGAGCAACTTCTCAAGAATCCGGTTGCGTTAAAGTTGTTCGGGCCTCTCATGGACGAAACGAGGCAACTTGACGAGATCTACAGTGCGCTATCTCGACCGAAGATCGGGTTTTCGCAAATGGAGGAGGACGCCGCTGAGCTTCTGGTCAAGATCCACACCTACGTGAAACTACTCGACAAAAAAACAGCCAAGAAAAAGCAGGCTGAAATTGATCAGTGGGTTAAGAATCACTACAAGATTGTGGTTGAAGGGTGGAAACTGCCAGAAATGAAAAACCACCTGCGCATTACCGACGAGACACGACGAGACAGCCTTGCGTTCGAGATGCTGGTCGGCCTAAAAGTGGCCCGCATGAAGAACGACTTGTTCAAGGAAGGCACTCCTGAAGTTGTACAAAATAAAGCCTTTCATGTCGTAGACGATCTTGAAAAGGACAAGCTTGCTCAGAAGTATCTGCCAGAAGCCGTAGGAAGCGACAAGTCGGAGCAGCAAATTGTCCATCTACTAGACGAAGGCAATATAGAGCTTGGTGAGGTGCAACACACCGATGTCATGGAGGCATCGAAGTTACTGATGCGGGTTCGAGAATTAGTCAAGCACATGTCGATCTGAGCGTTGTGCGATCGATGATGCTGTTGCCTAACAACAACTATGGCAGCAATCCTTCTCGATGTTGGCCTGAATACATGTCTATCATCTCTTCTTCGTCTGATTAAATTGCCGCTTTTTCTAAGCTATCCCTACAAAGCATTCATGTATATCAAAGGGGGCCTTTTCAACTTGGCCTTGATAGATAATGTACAATGATGGCTAGCGGATCGCGATTGCAGTTAAAAAGGTTACTTTGTGTCCTCTTCACCGTCGCTCTCAGAGGATTGACAGATATATAAAGAGTTTCGTCATCTCCGCGCCTACAGTCCAAGTCTCTTATTTCGTGCAATCACACAATGGATACTAGAAGTTTCAATGTTTTTTAGTCTCTCGATTTTCACCACTGCACGCTATCTAGCAAGCTCAGGCAGATGACCATCGTGAAGGTAAAGGGATCATCACGCTCTCAGGCTAAATGCGACCTTGAGGTCCTAGTCTATATTGCTAAATGATCGATGAAACAATTGACTGGATCGGCTAGTGTTAGTGTTGTACTGCCGGCTTTTTGCAGCCACCCATTCGCACACCGTGTCAGAAGACTCGAAATTAAGCTGAAAATGCTTTTTACACACGTAAATACCGATCCTGCGCTGTCAACTGTTTTTGTCAACCGGATTACGCTACGAAAAAAAAACAACCCAAGCAATCGGACGCATCGTAACCAGCAATCGGACGCATCGTAACCAGCAATCGGACGCATCGTACCCAGCAAACGGACGCATCGTACCCCAGCAATCGGACGCATCGTACCCAGCAATCGGACGCATCGTACCCGATCATCGTGTGGAGAGACCCAGTAGTAGCAGCAGTATCGGAGGTTGCCAGAAGTGCTTGGCAACGCCTTTGGCAGTCGTGAAAGGCAAAGGAACAGTGGGAAGCGCAGGCAATTGCCGAGTTGCCTTTGTATCGGAGAGGAAAACAGCAGCTGGGAGCAATTTCAATCGCTGGGTCTGTCGCCTCCTGAGCAAGATCAGGTATGGGAGGCCAAAACGTCGGGAGTGTGAATGGCTGGGAGGTGTTGGATTTGGTGTTAAAAAGGGACGAACCAGTCAAAGTGGCGCCGATGTGTGTCAATGGTTTGGAAGTTGGTGACAGGATGTTGGACCGCAATCAGTCGATCGATTGATGTTGAGAGTATTCGGAAAGTGGCCTTTGTCAAGATGATGGACCTTTAGAGTTGAAGCTGCAAGTCTCGACGGTACTCTGCCATGGTGTGGTTGTTTGTTCTCGCAACCACAGATGAGTGTACCGCGTCAACGATGTCCAGACGTTGTGGCTGCTAACGTGCGCGCTTCATTAAGCGGCCAGGACTCGTTCGCTGGTACTGATGGTGGTGACAGGTATTTATCTAAAGTAGCCAAACGTCGAGTGCATTTGGTGGACCTCGATTGTCAAAGAAGTCACAAATTGCGGCATGACACTATAAATCTCTTATTATACGGAGGTGCATGCCCCTGTTTCATCGTTGGTGCAAACCGTTTTGGCAGACTTTCAGCAATGTGATACCAGCGATAGTGATAGCCTTTCTATCAAGGTGAAACACGCCCGATCGGTAGCAGCAGTACCAGCATAAGGGCAGATCGGGTAGCTTCTTTTGCACTGCCAACATCATTTCTGCAGGAGCGGCCCGAATTGACTATTGAACACAAGCGTGCGCAACTGCGAGACCAAGCAGTGCCTGTTATTGATTGCAGCACGATGCTGCCCACTGAATAGAAGAGAAAATTTATGAGCTGGGCAATGAGTCAGGTCTCAAGCAGAGACGCTGCCCTTGCAAAATCGAAGAAAATGCTGCGACCAAGAAGTACAGAAGCTGGCTGTCACTAGGGACGAATGTGCACGATATGGGCAACAACAGCGAACGTTGATCGAAAAAGAGTGGGAGCGAGAGCGCACGAAAATAAAAGAGGAGAAGCTGCGTCGACGACAATGCAAGCTGTGTACGAAGATTGCAGTATCTCGACGACCAAATCTGAACGAGTGCGGGGAAGTGGAAATGCTCAAGGCGCAGATCGTGCAGATGCAAGTTGACGGAAAAGCACGTGTAGGCAAATGGAAGGCAGCAAATGACAAGTTGCGGCAACGTGTTTATGTACGTGATGTCAGTCAAGCTATTGATCGCTATTTGCCAAACGTTTTGTCATGTGTTTGCTCTCATTGCATGTCGTACAGGAGCTGGAAGAGTGACGAAATTGAGGTCATGAAGAAGGGTAGCTATAAGCAGTGGGTAGACTACGACCAGCTTCTGAAAGAGACGCGAGATGGTTCTGGACTGATACCGAAGTCCAGCGTAACTTCCACATCCCCTCTTGTGCTCAGTGAGAAGAGCTGTTCACATACGATGAGCGGCTTCGTTTGCAGTAAAGATGTAGAGGCACAGGGATGGAGTCCTTCTGACGACAGCATACCTGAGATTGACGAGAAGATGGACTGTATGGCATTATCGGACTGCAATCATCATGACACGGTGAACAGCAACGAATAGGAATGTGACGGACTAGAAGTCGAGGGCGTTCAACGCCCGTGCGTGTCTGGTGTCTCATCGAGTGGAATAACTTGTCCGAGTGGAAAGGAAGACTGTACCAGCGACTCGAGTCACGTGCGTGCAAATAATCCTGTAACGTCCGGTTGGCTCGTTTGCAGTTCGGAATGGCGAAGGTCGGTACGACACTGGCTACACTGACCTACATTGATTGATTGCGAGGAGTAAGGTGTGTGTGACCTCAACGTTGATACCTTCATTGGAACACAAGGTAAGTAAAGGATTGTTGTACACGGATGGAAGCAGAAAGAATGTGTTCTCGGATGGGAATGAAGAACCTGTTGACGCGAATCGCCACATTTTCGAACGGTGCCTCATCACATCATGCTTCGTCATGTTCATCACGTCCGAATCGTGACTCGTCCAGGGATACCACGTCCTCTGACAAGCTTCAGCCTCGTCAGTTTCTGGCAACCTCAACTGCTGCTGTTGCTGCTGGACCTCCTCACACTTTTCGTGTCTCAGTAGTGTCCTGCAGCATTGTAACTGGCAAACACTTCGTCCTCCGACATCAATTCACATGGCAGTTGCCCGTCCACTAATTCTCAGCTCGTGTTGTTGTCGAGCAGTTCGAGTGAGGTGGAAGCGTGTTCTAGACTAGAAACGGTGTGGATGCATACAAAAATACTCAAGCAATGGGAAAAACAAGTGTGGAAATATCGATTGTAAGCCAACAGCAACAGACGAATCAACCGCACGAGGCTCTGCATCACATATCTAGATCTAAGTCGCGAAACCGCTTCAGGACCACCGAGGAATGTAGAACTTCTTCCAGATCCTTCAGGTCAAGACCCGGCTTCTCCGCGCCCAGCAGAGTCTTAAAGACCTCCGACGGTTCTTTCTCCAAAGCATGCGAAAGATACATTCTGGCAAGCGGGTGTTGTATAAGTGCTTCTACCACCTCAGCTGCTTCATTTTTAACAGCGGAGGTTCCGCCATTCTTGACCTTGTCTTCGACAAGGCGAGCCGCAATGATATTCCTTAGCTCCGTGTATGCTACGTCGTCCAAAGGTGTATCGTCGGTAATTCCCAGAGCTTTCTTCGTGCGCGTCAGGCTCCACTTCTGCTTCACCGCCTGCGCCAACCTGTCGCCGTGCAGCAATAAAGCCCGGTTGAAAGCACCACGAAAATCGATCAGGAAATTGACAGCATCTTTTTCCCGACTGGGCTTACCCGACACGCGTCGAGTGTTCAATGAAGCCTCGTTTAAATCCTCCGTTTCTTGCATGACTCGCCCAAACTTTTTTAGAGCGATCGGATCGTTGACGATTTTGTTCAGTCTGTCTTTGAAAATCCTTTCCACAACGGGAGCATCAATGCCCTCAAGGTCGTCGAGCATCCGTCCCCGATACAGCAACGAGTAGAGGACGTCGGGATCAATAAGCGCGCGAGTTTTCTGGAAGTCTTGTTCCCAGACGCGCTGAAACTGCGCCGCCGTCCAACCTTCCCTGCGGAAGTTTTCGGAATACTCCGTGACAAGGTTGGTGTAGGGCTTGAGCAAAGCATCCCGATCCGTCGACAGCTGGAGTGCGTCCTTCGGCACCTTGATCGTCTCCTTCATAGACTGCTGCTGGCCTCGAGCCTGCTGCGGGTTGACCAGATCTAGTTCAGGTGCTTTTTTGATAATGTGCTGTAGGGATTGAGGCTCCGCAACGAGCGCCTCAGGTATCCGATTTAGTTTGCTCGACATCGCTACGGTCTGCGGCTGGACCGCAGTCTTTACTCCGCCAACACTCGATGGTAAATACCCTCCAAAACGTGTCCCGACAAATGACCACACGGCAGCTAGATCTCTGTTCTCCTCCGTTGACGCAAAGTCGGCGTTGCTAAACTCGCCGTCTGGCTTGTCCTCCTCTTGCTTTTGCACGCGTAATGACCTCTTGCTGACGCGAGGGTCGGAAGCGGTACTTTCGACCGATTGTGCTGCGTTTAAAGTGACGACAGCCAACGGCTCGAGCTGCTGTGACTCGGAGATCGCTTGGACTGTAGTGCTGACGGAGGCCAGGACAGCGATGATGTAGCTCAGATGCATGGTGAGCAGCAGGACAGCGTCAAAGAGAGAAGATGTGTGAACGGGGTGATGCAAGTGATGCACGAGTGAGCTGTCGAGAGCAAAGTGCGGAATGAGCTCTGCACAACCGGAAGTTGGCACCTATGGGCTGAACGGTCTTCGACTGCACGAGAGCAGACTGAAGGCTTGATCGACAGGACGACTTTCAATACATTGACGTCGCCTTTACACCGGAAGTGTTTTCAACGGGACGACAACATGGTCTATTGGACTCGATTTACCAAAGCGAAGATGCCATTTCATCAAGGCGATTGACAAGTACATACGGACTCGTGACATGTTGCAACGCTTTGTCGCTCTGGATGCAGTAACGTATTTCATGGATGAGGCGTCCCTCTTATCGTGGTCCTCCATCTTCTGGTCGTCCTTTTGAAGATCGCACTCACGGACATGTCCTACGGACGATTGTGCGCAAATGGACGTAGACAGGTATTACACGCATGGACATGGATAAAACCGGGAACCTCTTGATTACCGCTACCTGTTGTTTCGTCACCATCAGGATTACTTCATGGGGCCTAAGAACAAAAAGTGGACCAAACCGGTCGTCAATCGCTTGGGTTTCCAGGATTTATGTGCTGCAACAGCTATCACCATACTAAGCACAGACCGGTCCGTGGCAGTGGGTAGAAGTCATGCAACAAGAAGACGAGGACAAACAAACGAAGGAATGCCACTAACGAAGAAGGATACGCAGTCGCTGCTTCAACGAGAGAAGTGCATTGAACGAAACGATGAAGACGATACAATGCGTAGGAAAGAAACGATATCGTCAAAGGCAAGTCGGTCTTGGTGTTGCGGCGACCGAAAGTTTCCTGTTCGAATTCAGCTTTAGGTTGATCTTCTTTGAGTGGGTTATACTGCCGGCGATGGTACAACAAGGTAGCGGCGATCGAATGATTCCCTTGTGTATACATATCGCAATGATGTGGTCATTATCGAGCATGGGACTGTAGAAGAGACCCACCTGATTGTCTACTTGCAAGGTAGTGTGTACCGATGTCTACAGCATCCTGAGCTAGGATGTGAGCGCCGGTTGTGGCAACGTATCGTGACTGACACTTGTGTAAGCCGGGCGTCCTCTTAGATCGTGATACATATGCTACGACAAGCGTGAAGCCAGACGCCACGTACGGCTGTTATTGCATGCCAATGTTCACGCATTGCGACGGCCTTCAAACTGACGGAGGCCGGTTTCCCAGAAATCAGAGGCGCTCGATGCAAAAGGAAGTTGGGTCCTCTGCAACACTGCCGCACACACTGGTTCGCACATTGGCTAAAGCGTTTTGACGCCACTGGACATCTGCACTCTCGCCAGCCAAGTGTTGCATTAATTGACTCGAACACACTTGTTCGTAGGGCATTCCTGAAAAGCGTGCGCTGTGGTCTCTTTACGCCCCTCCCATATCAGTAGTTTGTGCGACTCGAATCAATCGAGTACTTGGTATGACATACGTTCAGCTGCTAAAGTACTACTGTTGGAGTGATTCCCAACTTGAAAAGGACAATGACGTGCTACTGCATATCGCTACCAAGCAGCGTGCCTCCGCATCAAAGCGGATCAGCCAAGGATGAAAGGCTTGGCGTAGCAGGCCTTTATAGTCTGGGAATGCGTGAAGGTGCGACGACACTCATTCCTACCGTTCGACTACCTGCCTGCTTCATCGAATTGTCAAGCGCGATACGCGGCGGACTCGGCTCAAATAGTCCAGTATGGCCTTGTGCTTGTATGATGTCAGTGAGTGGCCAAAGAATTCCTGGCAGCAGATAACTTGATTCAATCTTGCCGCAACAAGTAATGCGCTAAAACGATGCGCATGCGTCCACAGGTCGATATGGCGATACAGAATTGCTTCCGAGCTAAAAAAGCGGCGTCGATTTGGGAGACAAGCTATCGTCGTTCCTGCGTCGTATCCTAACACCGTCAGTAACGCTATCGACGAGCTCTGAACAGTTGGAAGGGGTCAGCAAGTAGTATGCGGACAGTACGAACGATGACTCTTGCAGGTAAAAGAGACGGCTATGTGAATAGGTTTGGCCGTCGTGACTGCGACCACAGGCGAATGTCCGCGACACTGCAAAAACACATTCTCGTAGGTGCACGACAGCAGTGAGTGCACGTCAAGTCAGCTGCCACATCAGAACTCCGCGTGCCGGCTGTAATCCAGTGCCACAAGCCCAGCTGGCTTCGGCTCATGATAATCTGCTCAAGCAAATTTAGCGAGTCTTCGTCTCATCAGCCTTTCGCAGCGTGCACTGCTTCCATCTGACGCTCTGACTCACCATGAATCCAAGAGGTCTGACTTTTGGAGGAAACTTTCTACAGCGCATACCCACTCCGTATCACTCAGTATGGGACAGACACCTTTGTAAGGATCAAACAAAGCAGACCCTGCTCTGACCTCGACCAGGAAATACACGGTGCGATTTGTCACGATTAGCGCTGTCGCGCTCGTCGTGTCACAACCGAATACCGGACTCGACTTTTGTTGCTTACTTGTCGGAGAGAACAGACAGCATCATCACGGCTGTTCTTTTGTCTTCTCGTGGACGTCCGATCGTCGTTAGTGCAAACACACGCCAATGTACGCGTCGGCGGTCCTATACGTTCTTGCAGACCTAACATGAGGCTTCTTGGACGTGACACAAGGACAACTTTAAGTGCAAAAGCCTTACAAAAGATAAGCGAGCACCCGCACCACCAGGAAAGTCGTCGGGTCACGAGCCGCTGTCTGCCGCTCTATCCGCCGATATCAAAAGGGCTGCCTACCATTACCTGATCCTTCGTGATCTTGCTGAACTTCCGGTTCGTGACAAGTACATCGCGTTCATCACCGTTTTTCTTTCCCGATAGCGAGTGTTTTCTTCATAC